AAATTGGATCTAAATAATAGAATAATCATTACTAATTTTAAGTACAAAGAGTTTATATTTCAAGTTTTCAATATATATGCTTCACCTAGCTCAGAAAACAAAAAACTCTTTTTTAAAAAATAGTTTTCTTATATTAAAGAAAACACTATTAATATTATCAGAAGTGATTTTAATACTAACCTCTATCTAGAGTGTGGCGATCTAGTGAAGTGGTTAGATTGTCAACCACCCAAGTGGTAGGTTGGATGTTTAAATCCTATTGATGACAAAAATTTAGATAATCACCTATATAATATTTGTATTACAGCAACTGTTACTAACAATTAGGTTAGGATACCTATAATGACAGTTACACTAGTATGACTGACAGGTTATAAGACATCTGTATAAGTATAGCATTATACAGAGAAATACAAACTGACAAATTAGATGGTGCAAATATTAGAAAAGTCCTTGTGGCCATGTAAATCTGTTAAAATTGGGTAACAAGAAGTCTATTTAGGAAAATCTGAATAAAGAGGTAGCTGGATCTTTGATGGTCTTACTGTAAAGACTAGTCCAGGGAAACAGATACCAAGGTCATAGTACTCAGTCATAGTAGCCAGACAGGCAAGAACCTTTGAGTTGGGAGTCTCAGAAGTACTACCAACCAGGCCACTAAAACGAACTAAAAAAAAAGGATATTGGGCTGACCTGATATATCAATGAACTGGTCATAGTCCTACATGGGCTATCTGGATTGGAAGTTTAGTAAAAAGGCAAGTAAAAAGACAGGTATATACTAAAGTACTGGAGTTATGCTATAAAGTAGATGCTGAAGTCTAAGTGAACTCTACAAAGACATAGCAGTTTAATAATCAGCCCTAACTGCAAATATTGGTTCTGCTATAGTAATACCTAGATCAGCTGTAAAAATGAATACAAAAGGCTCTGGGGGGTTTACCTCGAGGATAAATTAGTCCTAAGATTGAGACAATGATCTGAGCATCTGAGTATAACTCAGTGAGTTAATACAGATTACAGATTCAGAGGGTTTAAAGTAAAACACTCAAGCAAGTGTGTTAGCTATAGCAATTGGTAGAGAACCTTTAGGCAGACTTCTTAAATAGATAATATAGAAAAGTTATATGTGTAGCCAATTGTACTCTCTCCTGTAGTAGTTCATTAAACCACAATACCGATAAGTGATTAATAAAAGTCAAAAGACCAAAGAGGTCACCTTAAAAAAAAAAAAACAAACTAACCTTTATCTAGAAAGAGATAAAATTAGTGAAACAGCTCTACAATGTAATACTACAAAAGCACAACTTCAAAATCTTACTAAAAATTTTTAAAATTTCTTTAACTTTGCAAAACTAAAGTTTTTCTATATCTTTTTTTAAAAAACTCAAAGCAATTGCACTATGGCTATACATTTGAACTATATTTTCATCGATGAAAATAATGCTTACTTAATTTCAGAAATTAATACAAAATTTGAAAACTCAAACTACCTGCTAGTTAAGTATATCCTAAACTTTAAATCTAAAGAAAAAGAATCTGCTCTCTGAAGATTTGATAAAAACTGCTTTAAGAATGAAAAACTAAAAAAAAAAATATTAAATAAAATCTCAGATCTAGAAAATATAGAAGATTGAAACTTTTACAAAGTATATATACAATCAATTATTAGAGTCTTTAAATAACCAAGAATAACAGAAAACAAAATTACAAAACTAAACAAAAACATTACTCAACTAAAAGAAAAACTAGTACATAATTTTAAAAACAGCTATTTATATTTACAAATCAATATTCTAAACTCAGACTTTTAAAAAAAAATATCTCAGTTTGCTAAAAATAACAAACTCATTCTAAAGCTTAATGAATTGAATAAGATAAAAAATCTACAAAATACTTCTTTGCTAGGTATAAAACAAGAAAAACTAGCTCTGTATTAAAGAATATTAAAGATTCTAAAGCTTCACAACAAACAAAAGAAAATACTTTTTGCTATATAAGAGAAAATATACAAAAATCTATAAAAAAGAGGATACAGATATCAGCTTAGCAGAAAAAATTACTGAAAACTTGCTACAAGTTTTCTTTGCATATAATTTGTCTTTTATACAAGAAATTATACAAGAAAAAATTAGAAATATTATCAGAAATCATCCAAACAATAAGGCTTCTAGCACAGATAAACTAACATATAAGTTTTATAAACTTACTGAAAAAGTAATAATACCAGTTCTTTATTTATTTATATTTTTTTAATGTTAAGATGACCTCTTTGGTCTTTAGACTTTTATTAATCACTTATCAGTATTGTGGTTCAATGAACTACTACAGGAGAGTATACAATTGGTTATATATATAACTTTTCTATATTACCTATTTAAGAAGTCCGCTTGAAGGTTTTTTACTAATTGCTGTATCTAATACCCCTGCTTGGATGTTCTACTTTAAACCCTTTGAACCTATAACTTGTATTAACTCACTGGGTTATATTCAGATATCCAGATCATTGTCTCAACCTTAGGACTAATTTATCCTTAAAGTAAACCTCTTAGAGTCTTTTGTACTTATTTTTATAACTGATCTAGATATTGCTATAATAAAACTAATACTTGTGATCAGAGCTGATCATTAAACTGCTATGCTTTTGTAGAGTTTACTTAGACTTTAGCATTTACTTCATAGCATAACTCCAGTATTTTAGTATACCTTTGTCTTTTTTCTACCTTTTTACCAAACTTCCAATTTAGATAGTTTATATAGGACTATAATCAGTTTATCAGTATATTAGATCAATCTGATATTTTTTCCTTTAGTTCATTTTAGCAGTCTGGTTAGTGGTATTTCTGAGACTTTTAACCCAGAGTTTCTTGCCTGTCTGGCTACTATGACCAGGTACTAGACCTTAGTATCCATTTCACCAAGCTAGTCTTTATAATAAGACTATTAAAAATCTAGTTTCTTCTCTACTCAGGTCTTACCAAATAGACTTCTTGTTATCCAATTTCAACAGATTTACACAGCCACAAGAACTTATTTAGTATTTGCACCATCTGATTTGTCAGTTTGCATTTCTTTGTATAACTTCAATATTGTACAAATGCCTTATAACCTATTAGTCATGCTGGTATAACTGCTATTACAAGTATCCTAATTCAATTATTAGTAACAGTTGTCATAATACAAATATTACATAGGTGATTATTCAAATTTTTATTATTGATAGAATTTGAACACCCAATCTACCACTTGAGGAGTTGACAACCTAACCACTTTACTAGGTTGTCACACTTCTACACTAGTTCTTTATAAAACAACTTCTAATTATAAATAATATTATCTAGATAAGTTTTTGATCATTCTAATAGGTTTAGATTACAAATAAATTAGATTTTTTTTTTTTTTTAAATATTAAGGTGAGTACTTGTAACCCAGAATTTTATTAATAGTATATTTGACTAATGATTGCATTACAATTACAAAAGACAACTAGCCATTTGTACAACTTTAGTTATTGTCTAATTTAAGTAGTTTACCTGAAGGTTCTATACTAATTACCATATCTGAAACTCACTTGTAGGTTTTTATTTAACCACTCTGTTTCTGTATTTACTTACTTACTTCTGCCTACTAACGATTCTAACCAATGCCAGTAAAAATATGTCATGGCTACTAAGTTTTTAAATAGTTCATTTATATGAGAAACTTTTGACTTTGTACTAAATCTTCTAGAATCTTTTGTATTCTATTCTTATACTTGATCAGATATCACTATAACTGAGACCAATACTGGTAGTTAGAACATACTATTAAACTGCTATGTCCTTGTAGAGTTCACCCCAACTCCAATACTGACTTCACAATATATTCTTACTATTTTGATATTCAATTCAAGTTCTACCAAGCTGTTATTCCAGACAGCCCAGAAAGGTAGAATAAGATTGTACTTCTGGTTTACATATTTGTCAACATGTACCCTTTTTCTCTGGAACCTGGAAATTCTAATAGCCTAGTTGGTTCATCTGGTCCTTTCTTAAAGACTGACACATTTGCCCAGTTTCACAAGTTCTAGCTCTATTTCATAAGTCTAGTCTTTACAGTAGCACTGTAACATTGTCAAAAGTTCAGGTTACTTCTCTACTTGGGTCTTCCAAGTAGGCTTCTGTTTTCCTACCTAGTTCCTGTGATAAATTAAATTTATTTAATTGTCTAAGCTTTTATTCTTGCATATAATTTTCTTTTTTATTTGTACTAATACAAATAATAAAAATATATGTATTGCTCATATATTACTATTTTATAAATTACTTAATAAAATATTCAAGCAAAACCTTACCTTAAAAAAAAACCCCCCATATATATAATTACACCCAAGCCTTAATTACTTTAGTTAGTTTAAATTACAAATAAATTAATCTGAATTTTTATTTTTTTATAATATTTTAAAAATAAACTTGTACTTTATATAAAATCTCAATTAAATATTCAATAAAAATAAAGACATGATCTCACCATTAATATTTAAAAAAAAAGATTGTAAGGACCCCATATGTTAAGTATAATATAATTCAATAATATTAATAAAAAAATGTTTTTTAATAAAACATTTTATAAATATATTATATTATTAATATAGTGGGACCTTCTTAAGTGCACCCTCCTCGAAATCATAATTAAAAAAGCAAAACGCGCATTTAAAGAAAGTGCATTTATAAATGACAAAATATTTAATGCTCTTATAAAGGTCTTACTGCAATTTATTGGTTTATTTAAATTAAAAAATTTCAAAAAAAGGTATAGATGTACAAAAAACATTTCTTATAAAAATTTTTGCGTGTTCTGTACGTCAAACGCGTTTTATACCGATCTTGGGGTATTTTACTATAAATACACCATAGTAGAAATTTATTGTTTCTTTTCGGACTTAAATCATATCTTTTGAAGTATAGTACGGTATCTCGATCCTGTTAGGTCTATATAAACGATTACTAAAGTATAGAAACATGTATGTTTATAAAAGAGGTAAATTATAAAATATTTCTACAATTAGTTTGCCTTCAATATTTATTTGAAAAATTTGATTTATTTTATTATATAAAATTTAATGTTTACAAAAGACGGAAGAAAAGAACGCGTTTATTTTGACAAGATTACTTCAAGGATATCTAAGCTATGCTATGGTTTAAATATGGAGTTCGTTGATCCTCCAAAAATATCACAAAAGGTATAACATGCACTTGCACTCGTATTTACAAACTATTGCTTGCTTAAATACTTTTAAAACATAGGTTATCAGTGGTATGTATCAAGGTGTTACAACCGTCGAACTAGACAACCTGGCAGCTGAGACAGCAGCTTATTTGACGTGTAATCATCCGGACTACGCTATTTTGGCGGCTCGAATTGCTATATCAAATTTACATAAGGAAACGACGAAACAGGTAAAGTATCGCATCATCATTTTGTATGAGACCTTTTTAGAGGCATGTTTAATGACATAGATTTTGATAATTTAGTTCAGTGTTGTTATCCAAGAACTTTATCATCATGTTAATCCTACACGGAAAATTCATGCGCCTTTAGTTTCGAAAGAAGTATATGATATTGTTATGGAGAATGCAGACAGGTTAAATTCGGCGATTATCTACGATAGAGATTACGCTTATAACTATTTCGGTTTCAAAACTTTGGAAAAAAGTTATTTGATGAAAATCGAAGGTGTGTAGGTATTTATAAATAATTATTTATAAGAGAGTTACACTAATTTATATAGTTATATACTATTATAGCGAGAGTTGTAGAAAGACCGCAGCATATGTTAATGCGCGTGTCGATTGGTATTCATGGAAATGATATCAATGCAGCTATAGAGACTTATAATCTAATGTCTGAAAAATATTTTACTCACGCGAGCCCTACTTTATTTAATGCTGGTACACCGAGACCTCAAATGTCTAGTTGTTTTTTGGTGCAGATGAAGGATGACAGGTATTTTTTAATATTACGTTCTTGCGAATTTGTTGTGATTAAATAATGATGATAGACGTTATTTAGCATTGAAGGCATTTATGATACAATTACAACGTGCGCATTAATTTCCAAATCGGCCGGCGGTATTGGAATTAGTACACAAAAAATCCGTGCTTCTGGATCGTATATCGCCGGTACCGGTGGGACTTCAAATGGCCTTGTTCCTATGCTTCGCGTATTCAATGACACTTCACGATTTGTAAATCAAGGTGGTGGAAAGAGAAATGGTAGTTTTGCAGTGTAAGTATTATTAATATCTGGCAAGTGTTTATATTTTATTATTTATTAATAATGAATATTTATATACACATCTTATAGTTATATTGAGCCTTGGCATTCAGACATATTCGAATTTCTTGATCTAAGGAAAAATACTGGAAAGGAAGAAATCAGGGCACGAGACTTATTTCTAGGACTTTGGATTCCGGATCTGTTTATGAAAAGTACGGCGTAACCGTTTACATTTATTAATTTCATGTACATATATATTAACGTTATTATTTAAAGGAGTGGAGAAAAACGAGGATTGGTCATTATTTTGTCCACACGAATGCCCTGGCCTTGATAGTGTTTATGGTCAAGCGTTCGATGATTTATTTACCAAATATGAAAGAGAAGGAAAGGCACGTAAAACGATCAAGGCACAAAAGTTATGGCTTGCTATTGTTGATTCCCAAATAGAGACTGGGATGCCTTATATGGTCTATAAAGGTAAGAAAAATGTTGATCAAGTATTACCATTATTGAGCTCTGAAATAATGTTCAATTTTAGATTCTTGTAATGAAAAGTCAAACCAAAAGAACCTTGGAACTATCACGTGCTCTAATCTATGCACGGAGATTATAGAGTATACCGCTCCAGACGAAGTAGCAGTGTGCAATTTAGCATCAATCTCACTTCCTAAGTTCGTTAATGTCAAAACGAAAACTTTTGATTTCGATAAACTTCATGAAATAGCCAAAGTTGTCATCAGAAACCTAAATAAGGTCATTGACAAGAATTACTATCCTGTTCCTGAAGCCGAGAAAAGTAACAAGAGACATAGGCCGTAAGTATGAGTATTGTTTAAATGTCGCAACATGAATAGATTATTTATCTTTTTTTTTTCTTGCCACTATTAGTGTAGGCCTTGGCGTTCAAGGCAAGAAATACTTTAATTTGTATATTGGAGAATTAACATATTTCTTAGTTTTCTTAAATTTTATATCCTGTTTAGGTCTCGCTGATGCTTTAATTATGCTGCGTTATCCATGGGAATCTGAGAATGCACGCAAACTAAATCGTGATATATTTGAAACATTGTATCATGCCGCACTTGAATCATCATGTGAAATTGCTGCAAGGGAGGGTCCATATGCAACTTATGAGGGATCGCCAGTCAGTCAGGGAATTCTTCAATATGAAATGTGGAATATCGAACCGTCTGATCGGTGGGATTGGGTAAAATTAAAAGAGGGGATATGCAAGTATGGAATAAGAAATTCATTATTAATAGCACCGATGCCAACCGCCTCCACTAGCCAAATTCTTGGTAATAATGAATGTTTTGAACCATACACGAGCAATATTTACACACGTCGTGTCTTAAGCGGAGAATTCCAAGTTGTGGTAATGATAAAGATAATTGTGTTAACGACAATTATAAATATTGTATCTAATAATTCTAACATTGATGTTCAGAACCATCATTTACTCAACGATTTGACCGAAATGGGTATTTGGAATGAGAAAATGAAGAATGAAATAATCGCTGCTAATGGCTCTGTTCAAGGGTTTGAAGAGTTGGATGATGATTTAAAGAAACTTTATAAAACAATTTGGGAAATACCACAAAGGGCTCTTATAGATTTTGCAGCAGATCGAGCACCATTCATTGATCAATCACAATCATTGAACGTATTTCTTTCTGAGCCGAGTGTCGGCAAAATATCATCTATGCATTTGTAAGTGTCCATAAATCTGTATGAGATAAGTTAACAAGCTCCATATGGTCGCACGACCCAATAACCAGTGGAGCTTATAATCTATATTTCATTTAGGTAGTGATTGGAATCGGTTTAGTAACTACTATGTTTAATCGATTAATAATTGGCTGACTAAACCGATTCCAATCCCTAACTTAGGGTTGGGGCGCGGTATCTTCTGGCATGTCAAGAATATCCTAGTTTCATACACTGATAGAGTATGTATGTTTTCTGGCCTGAAGGTATATCCAAATGTTTCTGTGCCTCAATCCTAACTACATTTGATCGATTTGTAAGCATAATGAGAATACACACCTGATAATTTTGCTAATTATGATATTAATAGCTACGCATGGAAGAAAGGTCTTAAAACCGGCATGTATTATTTACGTACACGCCCTGCCGTTGACGCAATCAAATTTACAGTTGATCAAGTGTCATTGGTTAAGAAGAGGGATGCTAAAGTTAGTTTAGGTTTAAGCCTTTAGGCTCCAAATTAAAACTTAAAAATCAGGTTTTTTTTATAATAAGTCCCAAACATAAGTTAAATCTAGTTTGGGTTCAGAACCAAAATTTAAAACCTGTTCTCAATACTTTGTAAGACATAACGATAAACATAATCTATTAATAAAAAATTAATAAATATAAAATTTTTACAATAAGTCATCTGTATAAAAGGTAAACAGATTTAGATTTCTGTTTTACAGTCGACTCTGGATGTAACGAACGCAAAATTTAAAATTTTTTATAATAGTTCGGTATAAAAAATGCAATGGATCCTTAAGAAAACAGTAGTGAACGTTTTTTTTCTTCAATTCGTTATCGAAAGAGTTGAATATATACAGCCATCCTTTCTAATTTTTACATAAAAAAAGATGTGATTATATGGGCTAGGTGATATAACATTTTCGATATCTACATTTTTTTTAGCAAAATTTAATGAGTTTTTTGTATATAAATTTAGTAAACTTTTAATATAAGAGTTTTTTGTATATAAATATGAACGAGATCATATGGATTGTTACACAGCAAACCAGGTTTAGAGGTTTAGTTAGACCGTATTATCTTTCGCAATTCCGGGCGTATTTGTTTATTTTTATTTTATTTTATTCATGAATAGTAATATTTTCATCAATAAAAAATTTAAAAAAAAATTAATGAACAAAATTTTTCGCGGGCACGAGCTTTATTTCAATTCATGTGTTGCATCATTTTTACTCGTTTTTACAGCAACACGATCATAAAACAAAAAATTTTTTTTGTTATCTGATAATTTTCGATCTTTACCATTTGGTGTAGCCATCCCAGGCTTTAATTACATCATGAATTTGTTCTGGCATTTATCGAATCATTCTTGTATAGGTTTCAACATCAACCACCTGTCAGATCACCTAAATCTTTTCTCAAAGGTTTTTCTTACTTGAAATTTGATCAGAAAGGTTCCTGAGATAATGATTAGCTTTACATCACAAGTGTTCAATAGGATTGAACAAGTAAGAGAAGTCAATCAAAGAACTGAATCTTGTTTTTTTTAAGTCAATGTTCTGTTAGAGTTGTTATATGACAAAACATGTCATCTTATTAGAATATGATATCCTTAACATCAAAATAATAATCTTTAATAGTTTATTTCAAATCTTTATTAAGTGATAAATTGCAGTTGAAAGGTATAAATTTTATAGTAAAAATTAGCAAAAAATTACTATTACTTTTATATAATATTGGATTGCTAAAATATCTGACATTATATAAAAATTATATAATTATAAAAAAGAAAATATTAATAGTTTGCAATCTGTCAAACTAATTTGAACAATTCTATTATAATTAGAACCAAAATAATTTGTTATATAATTTTTGTTAGAAATTCAAGAAAGGTTTATTTGATATAAAAAAAATTTTATTATAAATTAGCTGCATTTCAACCCTATAGAAAAATTATATCAACTTTTGGTAATTTTTACTATTAAATTTACTATTTTTATATTCTTTAATTATGATTTACCTTTTAAATATTTTTTGGTATAACTTATTATTTATTATATTATTAACCTTGCAATAACTGCCAACATTACATAAGAAAAAAGCAACCTTAAATCAAAATTAACTTATCTTTAAATTTTATTATAGATTTAATATTAAAGTAATTTAATAGTTCTTTATAATATTTCTAATAATATTGCTTTTTATCTGATCTAACAATTTGTAATTATAATTTCTCAAATTAAATTATCTTTATTCAGTTTTTAATAATTTAATTTTAATATTTTTTACAAATTTGAAATATTGTTTTTGATAATTATTATTTAAGAAAAGTTTTTTTTTAATTCATAATATTAAATTGTAACTACAAAGTATATAATGAATAATTGTTACTTAAATTTCTATATTTTTATTTATTTAAAATATATTATTATTTTAATAATAGTAAAGCAATAGTAAAAGATAATAAGATTTATTATTCTTTTCTGAATTGGTTTATCTTTCTAAATTTTTAAAAGAATAATTTATTAATTAATTTTTTTTAATATACAAGACTGTATAATAATTAATATTATGGATCTAATTTATGACTCTTGTAATATATTTTTTCTAAAGTAAAAGCAATATTTAAACTAGTTAGACAAGTGTTGTTCAGTATTTTTTTCTTAATTGTTAATAAATATTAATATTGTACAAGATATGTTGGCAGAATAAATATGTGAAATATTGTGAAAGATTTTGCATGCTAAAAATCTTTTAACATAAAATTATTTCGAAATAAAATAATTTTACAATATTGTAAAAAAAATAAAATAATTTTGAAAGAATTTTGGCTATTTTACAAAATTTTAAAAAATAACAAAACTAAAAAAAATGAAAAAATAATTTGAAAATAATTAGAAATATTTAGAAAAATTCGAAATATTTCAAAATCTTTGAAATAATTTTGAAATATTTTGAAATATTTGAAAAATTTTTAAAATAATTAAAAAATTTTAAAAAAATTTCAAAATATTTCAAAAATTACAAAATAATTTTTAATAAATTTATTTTATTTTATTTGAAATTTGCTTTTTACAAATTTTAATATATTTAATTAAATTTTTATTTGATAAATAACTAAGAAATTGAAAAGATGATGATTCTAGTGTAGTGGTTGAGTTGTTATCCTCCAAGTGGCAGGTCTAAGGTTCAAATTCCACCTATGACAAAATTTGAAAATTATATCTGCATTATAGTAACTGTCTTCTGTTAATCAGTTGGCCTTATGTGGCTGTTACCCAGATATACCAAGTCAGATCTTCTTAACTTTGGGAGTTCAGATATCTATGCGAAGTATAATTTTACACATACATAGAGGAATGTTAATTAGTGTTGCATAAGACTTTGGTGCAAACCTATGATAAAACTATCAGGTGTAGAAGACTAAGAAACTGAGGTAACAGAAACCCACTTGGAAATTCCCAAGTAAAGAGATAGCATGAACTTTTGATGGTATCATCAGACTGGTTAAAGTCTATGAAACACCTTTATAGGAATTGAAGATTAAAACTGGATATCAAATATATGTAGAGGATTATATAACCAACCAGGCTGCCGAATTTACTAAAAGAAAAGGATATATAAGTATACTATACCAAACTATCTGGATTAGTAGTCTGGAATGAGATCAACAGTTCCAAGTTGCAGCTAGTAGAGGATAATAAAGAAGATGCTGAGAAGATAGGTACTAGGATTCTAATAAACTTTACAAAAGTAAAAATAGTGTAATATAGTAGTTAAACAGGTTACTTCTGTAACTGCAAATGTTAGATAACTATAACATATTGCATAAAACTAGGTCTATATGTGTAAGTAGTACTCGCCAAAATCGAGTAAAAACTTGATTATCGAGTTTGCGCATCTAATTGGAGTACAAATCAGATCTTAAATTATTTAGTTATTTTAGTAAATCTAATGATATACATAACACATACATAACAAATATAATGCTGATCTACTATTTAACTCTATTATTGTACCGAATAAATCGAAATAATTATTAAAAAAAAAAGTTTATTTTGCTTTTTATTTTTTTGACTTTTAGTTCTTATTGGTCTCTCTTTTTTTCGATCTTTCGGCTTCTCTTGTTGTCTTTGCATAATTCTAATAGATCTTTCTACTTCTTTCATTCTTCTGGTAATTATGGTTTTGGCTTCTCTTGACCTTTTTTGTAGTATATATATTTCTTTTTTTTTTTATGTTTTTTTTTTTTTTTTTTTGATACTTACTAATTTCTCTTTTTTTCGATTGTGGTGAATCTTTCGGCTTCTCTTGTGGTCCTTGCATAATTCTAATGGATCTTTCTACTTCTTTCATTCTTCTGGCAATTATGGTTTTGGCTTCTCTTGACCTTCTTTGTGGTATATATGTTTTTTTTTTTTTTTTGGTACTTACTAATTTCTCTTTTTTTCGATTGTGGTGAATCTTTTGGCTTCTTTTGTGGTCCTTGCATAATTCTAATGGATCTTTCTACTTCTTTTATTCTTTTGGTGATTATGGTTTTGGCTTTTCTTAACCTTCTTTATAGTATGTATGTTGCTTTTTTTTTTATGTTTTTTTTTTTTGGATCTTTCAGCTTCTCTTGTGGTCCTTGCATAATTCTAATGAATCTTTTTACTTCTTTTATTCTTCCATCGATTATGGTTTTGGCTTCCCTTGACCTTCTTTGTGGTATATATGTTTCTTTTTTTTTTCTATGTTTTCTTTTTTTTTCTTTATTTTTGGTACTTACTGATTTCTCTTTTTTTCAATTGTGGTAAATTTTTCGGCTTCTCTTGTGGTCCTTGCATAATTCTAATGGTTCTTTCTACTTCTTTCATTCTTCCGGTAATTATGGTTTTGACTTCTCTTGACCTTCTTTGTGGTATGTATGTTTTTTTTTTTTTCTATATTTTCTTTTTTTTATTTTATTTTTGGTACTTACTGATTTCTCTTTTTTTCGATTGTGGTGAATCTTTCAGCTTCTCTTGTGGTTCTTGCATAATTCTAATGGATCTTTCTACTTCTTTCATTCTTTCAGCAATTATGGTTTTGGCTTCCCTTGACCTTCTTTGTAGTATATATATATAATTTTTTTTTTTATATTTTTTTTTTTTTTTTTTCTTTATTTTTGGTACTTACTAATTTTTCTTTTTTTCAATTGTAGTGAATCTTTCAGCTTCTTATGGTCCTTGCATAATTCTAATAGATCTTTATCCTTTCGTCCTTTCATTGATCCATCGTTTTCAATTAATTTATTTCGATTTGTAAATACCATAATCACTAAATAGTAACAATAATAAAAGTGTTTCATAAGCATCAATTGAAATCAAAATTATATTTAATCTTAAGCATCAACACAATTATAAATTAATCACATTAAGGAAGTCTTCAATTATACTATCATGCATATTAGAGGCTTGCAAGAGCTGGGCCAAAATTTAAAATTTTTAAAAACCTCAAAATTGCAGGCCTGGTCAAAAACATAGTAGAATGTGGGCTGAACCCTTAAAAAACACATTATATTTTATTTTGCAGATTATGTGGGCTGGCAAAAGTCCAAATTTTTCAGACCGTGCAGGTCTCTAATGTATACTATTGGTCTACTAACAACAGTCTAAATAAATATCGCTATAGTGGTTGAGCTCTATCTCAATTACTAACTAATCACATCAAGTCCTGCTGCCTGAGAACACTCTGAATCTATTAAGGCTAGTACATATGTACGTACATGTTGTAAATGAGAATGGAATCTAAGTGGATTTGAAATTTCCTAGTTAAATTAGGGTTAGGATGATTAGTATTATTTATTTTCTGGGAGCTTAAAAATTATAACAGAGATTTCTGATGATCATAGGATACAGATGGCCTGAAGGGCCATTTGCATCATATGATCATCAGGAATTCTCTATTGTAATTTTAAACTCCTCACAGGAAATAAATGAATAATATCCTGCCTTACGTTGTTCATGCCTCACTTTATTATAATTTTCACATGATTATTTGTGACCAGGAATCTTCCCATAGAAGATTCCTGATCATGATATAATTGCGCAGGAAATTATAATGAAGGTAGACATGAACAACAAATTGTAAGACAGGGTATTATATGATAAAATCAACACCAAAAATGGGTTTTATATTTAAATCCAAATCCACTTAAATTCCGTTTCCACTTACAACATAAATAAGCAGCACTTAAAGAATTTAACAACTCTTGGACAGGATAATTAATGGTAACTCATTAGTAAATTATCACAGTGAATTAGTGGTTTATTTAAATTACCATAGTAAATCAGTGGTTTATTCAAATTCAAAGAGTTTTTGTATGAAATAAATAAACTTTTAATGATATAATATTAATGATACATATTTGAGCAAATGAAAAGCAATTACACACTAACTGAACTTGTATAAATGATGTATTAATTCGAATCATTGCTCTGAAATAACCAAATAAATAAATGAATTGGAGATTAAAAAATATATATTGTACATTAATGAAAATTAAAATAAGTTTCAAATTTTTAAGTAGAAAATAATTGAACAAAGTATGTGATAGGATTTTACAACACTAAGCCACTGCTTACAGTACCCAAAAATAAGATCTTATCACATAAAACACCCTTCTTCACTATTGAGATTGCTGGATTCGTAAATACTGTACAAGTCACTCTCGTTATATAGAAGTAATCGGGCTATGAGATTTTTTTCACTATATCGAGAATCTATTAATAAATTGACTATATCGAGAGGGTTTTTATATAATTGTTCTTCACTATAACAAGAGGTTCACTATAATAAGAGTTCACTATAATGAGAGTGACTTGTAGTACCTGGAGCTATTCAATTTTATAAACGAAGTTCTTGAATAAGACCCTGGGTACTGTAAGCAGTGGCAACAGTAAAATGTAGTGACTAATGCGAATCTTGTGCAATATCAATATAGCATATAGGCAGAAATCTTCAATTTTGGTGATTAGTTGAATTGAATGATGAGATTAAATAAAACTTGAGCCAATAAAATATATGAGATAGAGTGATTACTGAGATTAAAAGTGATTATTTGCCAGTTATTATAAAATTGTTATGAATTGCTTATGAGTTAATTATCAGTTGCTTATTAGTTTTTATATGCTGTTCTCAAAACAGATTAGCCAAAATAACCAAAACAACCCACATATTGGTGGTGTTTTGATTTTGATTATTCTAATTTTCATAATCACCACAACATTCCATTAAAAATTTTTGCCTATATGAAAACTTCGTCAGATCAACATTAATTTTTGTCAACAAAAGATGATGCTGAGCATTATATTCGAATAAGTCAGTTAAATAATTAGATATATTACCAATTCGTCAAATTAAATTATTTTAAATCCACTTACCAAATGAATGCGCCAAGAGAAACCTGTCATCAGGCTTTCAATTTATTTTGTATTTGAAACAATCTATCTAATTTGTTAGAAATTGTGTCTAATACAAAATATAATTGAAAGTCTGATAGCAGGTTTTTCTTGGTGACACTCAAATAAAAATTGAATTCTTTAAGTGAATTCATTTAGAATTCCATCACAATATGTATTAATTTGAAACTTATAAGATTTTGTTTCAACGTATAACAAATATAAACTTACAATTCGCTAGAAACGCCAACATAAGACAAAACAAAAAATCTTCAATATTTTAATTTCTAGTCTGATCGATCTGTCATAACACCGACAAACTATCTTGACTTTTATAAGTGTGCCTAAAAACACTAAGCCCTATGCAAAAGAAAAAAAAAAGTTCTTGTAAGTTAACTACTGTATTAACAGAAAGAAATTCTAACGGTTAAACTTACTAGAAAATAGCTGACATTGTAATTATACACATATAGTTAAATCTTTCTATAACGAACTGAAGATTCTGGAAAAAAAGAAGTTCATTATAGAAAATTATTATATTTTTTTAAGAACCCATAGTGCTTTTTATACTAAACTATTATGAAATTCAAATTTTAAGTTCATTTTATCCAGAGTTCAAAAAGAAAGGTTCGTTATATCCAGAATCAACTGTAGAAATAGTTTTATCATTACTAATTTCAAAAATTTATGAAACATTAAAAAACAAAAAGAATTAATGTAGATCCTTACCCCCAATTATAATCCTAAGTTATTGATTAAGCAGGCAACTTGTAATAGGAACTATCTAGCTTCTGCTTCTGTTCAACATTACCATAAAAAATGGTTATAACATTTGTAAAGTTGAAATTTATATCTTGCAAGATCAACAGTTCCAATAAACATTCAAATCTCTGTATAATTTATCGTCTGGATTATGTTTTATTCATAATTGATTGGACTACAATATTTTCACTTCAACTTGTTGAAAAAAATATCAATATAATCAGAATTACGTCTATAGTCGACTTTACTTATAACAAACCTTGGGTGAAAATTTTCAAAATGTTTCTTATTTAGACCATGCAAATTAAATTATTTGGATCTCGTTACATAGGAGAGGCAAATAGGACAAGCTGGCCAGCAAAAAATATTATATTTAAAATTTTTTTTAATTTTTATAAAAAGTTACTCGCCAGTTAACAAGAACCAATTTTATTTGTTTGCACGGCTTTAGTATGTTATACCAAACTCTGATAATTTTGTTAAAAAAAAGTTCATTATATCCAGAGCTGACTATATAATAAAAACATTATTTTGTAATATACCATCGAATAAAGCTCTTTTTGAAAGAATGTAGTTACTAATACAATCTTAATTTTTTTTTTAGTTCACATCTCACTCCTACTAATCCATGAAAAAAAAAATTTTTATTTTAAATTTTAATGTAACAATTTTATGTAAGTTAAAATTTTGTATCACATACATGCATTATCAAACAATTGATCAAGATAAAAATTTTATCTACTAAATACACAATTAAAAGAAAAAGAAGTTTAAGCCATCCAGTCACAAAGTGCAATTGCTTTCTGTATGGTCTTTGGATTTAGCAATCCACATTTTACGGTATCAATATCTGAACCTTTAGAAAAAAGTCTTTCAGAGAGTGCACTTGTTGCTGGTATGGCAAGATAGTCACGTGCCATACTTGCTAATATTGGAAATTGTTCAGTATGCAAGTGCCACTATTGATATATGTTCATTTTAGGATGTACTGTAGGACTGTTCAAGTACAAACTAATTTTATTTGTAGAATTGTAAAGTTTTCTATAAACATGGTCAAGAGAATTACTATCAGAAATATTACTAACTATATAATTATCTTTATACCAGTTATATACATCATTTAGGCTTTCAGTTGCCCAAGTAATCCATTCATCGTCTCAACTTTCCGCTTCATAATATGCTTTCTTAAACCTTGGATCAAGTAAGGTTGTTACAGCATATGCAGAACCACCACTTTTTGTATAATAGATGATCAATTTCTTAAGTACTTGCTCGATAGCCTCATGAATTACAGTTGAATATTCATCTTGCATATTTTTAAGATTATCCATAATTTGGTTATAGGCTGGTATAACAAGAGACATCGTGATGTACGTTTCATCACACAGTACCTTAGACATATCACAGAAGGATTTTAAAGGTAAAGACACCTCTTTTAACATATTCTATTTACTTTCCAAAAGACCAAAATTATTTAATTCTCGAACTTCACTAACCATTCTATCAATGGCTGGTGATATAACAATAGCCTGTTCAATCATATTAAGTGTAGAATTCCACCGGATCTTTGAGTCGAGAATTGGACTTTTATATTATATATTAAGAGATTCACATAGTTTGCTTAACTTGTTACGACATTAGGATGAAGATCGAATTTTAACAATTAATGATTGAAGTTTTTTTATAGTTGGGGTTGAGGCCGAGGTTTGGGAGGTAGTAGGTTGGTCTAAGATATAAAGCTCATCTTTATCTTGGTCTGGTGGTTCTGAGCGTAGATGGTACAAAAAGGCTTGTAAGGCAAGATTAATAACATGAGCCATGCAACAAACATAGCCATGTTGCTTAATAAAGGAGCCACCAATGCTTTTATACTTAGCTTCAAATGCCTCAAGTAATGTATCATTACTTGAGGTGTTATCAACAGTTATTCCTAAAACTTTATTAATAACACCAAACTCGTTACAAATATTAGTTAAAGTATTTGATATATTGACTCCAGTATGTGCTCTATTAAAAGGTGCAAGATCAAGAATTTGCGACTCAACTTCCCAATTACTATTAATCCAGTGAGCTATCACATCCAGAAAGGCCTTACAACTCTTACTTGTCCAAAGGTCAATAGTAAGAAAAACCTTACTTGAGTTATCCATTAGAGTGTTTTGTAGAGAGGTTTTTAGTTCTAAGTATTGTTTTAACAAATCTCTTTTAACCATAGTAGCAGAGAGAACTTCAACATCACCCAAAACTTTAATTAATCTAACCAATTCTCAGAAGCTTTCCGATTCGATGGTTGTAAAAGGAAGACCTTCTGTCACAATCTACTTAACCAGTACTTCCCTAAAAATGCTTTCATTTGACTAAGGAACTATAGTTGCAAGATTTTTAGTACTAACTGCCATGGAGATATCGATTTGATGTTCGTTAGAAATATGATTATGCAAGCTAGTGGTGCTATCATGGGTTATAATAAGATATTTGTTATGAGCACACAGACTGCATTTGGCCTTTTGCTTGCCATCTTCTTCAAAGGGTGATTCAAAAAATAACCATACTGGTGCCTTTTTTTGAGTTGGCATATGAGTACAACTGGTAGATGCCATTTTTTAAATAGGATAATTTTTGGTATAATAAATTTATAAGTTTTTATGTTTGAAGATATTATCTTATTTAATAAATAAGTTGCAGGTCTTTTTTCCCTATTTATATTTATCTTTTACTCTAATTGCACTAATGATTTCTTTGCGCATAACTATCACGCATAAAGTTTACACATAACGATCATGAACAAAGATCACACATTGAGATCACGCATTAAAATCACACATTGAGATCATGCATTGAGATCACACATAGCAATCACACATTGAATTTAATTGATAAGATATTAGAGAATTGAAAAAAAATTAGACCATTCATAACTCTCATAAAGTTTTTAAAAAATGACTTGTCAACCCAGTTATGAATTTTATTTCAAAAAATTTAATTATACATAAAAAGTATATAAAAGTATTAAGAAAAGCCTACCCTACTAGTGAATATAATTGAAATTAAACCATCCACTTTTATTTATTATTATTTTTTTTTTTAATTTTTGCATAATAAAATAAACAATTTCATTACATAAAAAAAACTAGGTGAGGCCAAAAAAATAAAAAAAAAGCTGAAGAAATAAGAAGATTCATCAAAATTACTACAAAGACCACTGGAGAAATCGAAAATATTCACTATAATCAACAAAAGAATCACAATAGAGGTCGAAAAGATTCACCATAATCGCCAATAGAATTACAAAAGACCAGTAAGAACAAATGATTCAAAAAAAGAAAAAAAAAAAAAAAAAAAAACATACATACTCAATTCAAAAGAAGCCAGAAAGAACTATATGAAAGGCCAAAAAACACCACAATCACCGAAAAAATATGAAAGAACCAGAAGGGAAGCTAAAACCATAATCATTGGAAAAATGAAAGTAGTAGAAAGATCCATTAGAATTATGCAAAGACCACAAGAGAAGCTGAAAGATTCACCACAATCGAAAAAAAGAGAAATCAGTAAGTACTAAAAATAAAGAAAAAAAAATGAAAACATAGAAAAAAAAAGAAACATACATACCATAAAGAAGGTTAAGGGAAGCCAAAACCATAATCGCCGGAAGAATGAAAGAAGTAGAAAGATCCATTAGAATTATGCAAGGACCACAAGTGAAGCCGAAAGATTCACCACAATCGAAAAAAAGAGAAATCAGTAAGTACCAAAAATAAAGAAAAAAAAAATATATAGAAAAAAAAAAAACATATATACCACAAAGAAGGTCAAGAGAAGCCAAAAAACACCATAATCACCAGAAGAATGAAAGAACTAGAAAGATCCATTAGAATTACACAAGGACCACAAGAGAAGCCAAAAGATTCACCACAATCGAAAAAAAGAGAAATCAGTAAGTACCAAAAATAAAGAAAAAAAAAAGAAAACATAGAAAAAAAAAGAAACATATATACCACAAAGAAGGTTAAGGGAAGCCAAAAAGGACCATAATTGCTGGAAGAATGAAAGAAGTAAAAAGATCTATTAGAATTATGCAAGGACCATGAGAAGCCGAAAGATTCACCACAATTGAAAAAAAGAAAAATCAGTAAGCACCAAAAATAAAGAAAAAAAAAAAAGAAAACATAAAAAAAAAAAAGAAACATATATACCACAAAGAAGGTTAAGGGAAGCCAAAACCATAATCGATGGAAGAATGAAAGAAGTAGAAAGATCCATTAGAATTACACAAGGACCACAAGAGAAGCCGAAAGATTCACCACAATCGAAAAAAAGAGAAATCAGTAAGTACCAAAAAAAAAAACATGAAAAAAAAATAAACATATATACCACAAAGAAGGTCAAGAAAAGCCAAAACCATAATTGCCGGAAGAATGAAAGAAGTAGAAAGATTCATTAGAATTACACAAGGACAACAAGAGAAGCTGAAAGATCGAAAAAAAGAGAGACCAATAAGAACTAAAAGTCAAAAAAATAAAAAGCAAAATAAATTTTTTTTTTTAATAATTATTTCGATTTATTCAGTACAATAATAAAGTTAAATAGTAGATCAGCGTTATATTTGTTATGTATATGTTATATATGTCGTTAGATTTACTAAAAATAACTAAATAATTTAAGATCCGATTTGTACTTTAATTAGATGCACAAACTCGATAATCGAGTTTTTACTCGATTTTGGCGAGCACTATGTGTAAGACATAAAGGCTCTAGTAAGTTTCCTATTAAGAATAAAGTAGTCTTAAGAGTAATAATAAGCATCAGGAACTTAAATAGGTGTAGCCTTGAGATGTTCTTATGATACAAGGAAGGTTGTATATGCAGAGAGTTTAAATAGACAAGACCCCTAGTTAGCTTGCAAGTATGGCAACTAGTATAGAACTTATATAGCAATATGTAAGTGGACTACTTAAATTAGGCACCAAAAGTGCATGTGTAGCTAGTTGTAACCTCCAATGTAAGGGGGCCCTTGGAGGCACTTGTTTTCTAACAAAACTTAAATAAAATATCATATTCTCAAGATAGGGACTTTAACTATAAAAAATAAAAATAAAAAAATAACTAAGAAATTTAATTATTTTTAATATAAATTAACTTTATTTAATTAATTTAATATTAAATATAAATAAAAAATATAAAAAGATAAAAAAAATATCTATATAAAAATTTAAAATTTATAAAAAATTTCTAAGTAATTTAAAATTTTTCAAAAATCTGTAAAACAACTAAAATGTATTAGTAAATAAAATAAAAAAAAAATAAAAAAGTTTCATTTAAAAGTTAAATTTCTGTATATGATTACTTAAATTTAGCTAAAAAAAAAGAAAGATTATTTGAAAATAAAAAAAAACAAATAAAAAAGTTTTATTATTCCTCTTCAGTATCTTGATTTTTATCAAATAAATCTAAATTAAATATTAATAGTATTATGTGTAATTTTAAAATAAAATAATGTGAAGTTATTCAAAAATAATTAAAAAAATGTAAGATAATTAAAAATTTTAAGAATTATAGAAATATTCTTAAAACATTACAAATTATATCAATAAAATAGTTGAAATTTAATGATCATACCTTTTCTTAGCCTTTTACTTGTCTAATAAATTTATTTATTTATTTATTTATTTGTATAATATTAAGTAAAAAAATAAGAATATATTTATATATCAATTGGATATGGATGTATAACTAAAATATTATTCCTAAACTACACTATTGTTGTTATATACTACATCATCTAGTGTGATATTATTCTTTAGTTTTCTGTTTTTAGTTAAGTTAATTAATATGAACTTAACTACAAAAAGGATAAAAGAAACCTTTAAAATTATTTAATTAATAAAAACAGATATGTATAGTAAAGTTTTAAGTAAGAGTTTTATAAATAAAGAGATCTATATTGGTGTTGAAAGTAAAAGTAATATTGTTAAAATTTGTAAATTGGGAAGTAAGTAATCTAATATTGTTTTTCTTTTTAGTAAAAGATATAATTCCTCATAATAATTCCTATTTATGTTGTTTAGTGTTATAGGTTTGCCAGATAGTAGAGTTAAACCAAGTAAGTAATGAGTTAGATAAAGAAATAAGAAAATTGTTAGTTTTTTTAGAGTGAATTGAAGTTGGTTGTATTGATTAAGAGTTATTGTATTCTGAATGAGTAATAGTATTGTATTATATATATTTAGATTAAGAGAAGTGTTTTGTATAATAAGAATTTGTATTATTGCATTGGGTAAGGTTTCTGTAATATTTAAAGAGTTTAAAGCATTTGAGATTTTATTAGTAAGAGTGTTTTGTAGATTGTAGGAATGAAGTGAGCATTGGAATAAGTGTTCAGTGCTTTCATATTAATTGCAATATGAGCAATTTGAAGCTAAATAGAAAAGGTGATAGCAGGTATAAAGATTTGACATTGTAAATAAATTATTAAAAAGTATTTTGTTTCTAATAGAATATAGTTTAAGATTGAAGTTTTGGGAATTAATAATTTTAGTTAATAATAAAATATTTATAGTTAGAAGGTTTCATAATAGTTTGAGTTAAAGAAGTTTGTTAAATGTTTGTATTAAAATTAGGTTTTTACAAAATTTATGTAGTTTGTATATGATTGGAACTTCTTTTCAAGAAAAATAAGTAGGTAGGTAAAAGTAATCAAGATTAAATTTTAATTTAGTCTTGTTGACATCTTGTTTGGCAAGAGAATTAGTTATATTGTGTAAAGTATTTTTTGAATATGATTTAACTTTGTATATAGTGTAATTAATATTTTTGAGTTTTATTAAATAATTAAGCATATGTATAATATCCTAATTATTTTGTTTAGTTTGTAATTTGTAATAGTAGGATAGTATATTGAAGAGTATTTGAATAGTAGATAAACTGTCTAAGTAAATATAAATTTAATAATTGGCAAGTAGGATGAGAAATAGAGAAATAAGTGTTACTAATTCTGCTTATGTTGAGTTTGGCATAAGTTATAAAAGCATTAAATTTGATTTGTATATTCTTTTTACAGATTCAAGCAATGTCTGTCAAGATGTTATTTGTTTGTGAATTGAGTATAGAGGCATCTATATAAAAGTTTAAATTGGTTAGTTCTAGCAATAGGATTTTTTTATGAAGATTGATAAGTTGGTTTTGGTAGGTAAAATTGGGTATTGTGTTTTGTATTAAAAGAATTTCTAAGAAAGGTATTAAGAGAGAGAGTAAAAATTGGGAAACTGGTTTGTAGAGCTTTAAGTAAATATTTTGAAGTGCTTGAATTTTTTGGTTGTTAATGTTAAGCTCAAAGTGTTGTTGTTTTTTTTGTATTTTGTATTTTAAGTTAATGGTATTTTTGTAATTGATTTAAATCATTTTTGATATAAAAGAAATATAGATTGTATTGAATATTGAATTAATAATTTGGTAGTTTTGAAAAAATAGTAATAAGTTGGGTTTGTTTGTTATTTTGCCTATATGTCAATTTGAAGGTGAGGTGTGAATTGTCTATATATTTTTGATGTTATCAGATTAAGATGTAATTAGATTAAATGTGTTTAAAAATAGATTTATTGGTAGAAGTTGAATGCTGGGCTATATGCATTTTATAGAAGAGATAAATATTTAGTTTGAGAGTGTTTTGAACTAGCTTGGAATAGAGCTTCATGGAGATTTAAGAGTTCTTAAATATATGGTTTTCCAAGAAAGTAGATTTAGATTGTTGGCTGTAAAGAGTTGTTCAAAAAAAAGGATTTTGTTATTTTTAAGACTTGAAGTTGTTGAATTACTTGAAAGTAGAATAAAGCTGTAAATGTTGTTTAGTTGGTTAGTTTGTTTATAAGTTGATAGTTAAGTTAGATAGAAGTTGTTAAGAGATATATTGTTTTTATATAAGTGATGAAGTTGAGATATTATAGTAAAATTAGTAGTTTTTCTGTAATTTTTTAAAATTATATCTTATGTTAGAAATGGTTTCCATATTTTAGAAATCCATTCCTTAGTTCAGTGTATAGTAATTTGGTTTAGAAGTTCATTAGTGTTAAAGCATCTTTCTATATTGCTGCTACTAACTTATAGAATTAGTTTGTTTAGTGTAAAAATGTTGAGTAATTGTGGGTTTGTAAGTATATTATTGTTTGTATTTGTGAATAAGTGAAGCATGTGTTTGGTGTATTTTATTAAGAGACTTGATAATAATTGGAGCTAGTTTTGTGAAAGAGAGCAGATTTGAAGTAAATATTTGATTAATGGTACAAGAATAGTATTAAATAGTCAAGATATTTGTATAGAAAAGAGTTTTTGTATTAGATCATGTAGGTGAATTGAGAAACTTTGCTAAAAAATTTTTCAAGTGTAGGTTTAGTTGATCTTTTTTTGTCTAAAAAAATACCTAAGTATCTAATTGAATCATTGGATTTACAAAATATAATTGGTTAGTTATTAAAGTTTAAAGAATTTATATCTTGAGTAGTGTTAAGTAGTATTTTTCTGTTAGATAAGATATGAATAAAATCTGATTTAGATAGGTTAACTTGTATATTATTTAGTTGGCAAAGTTCAGATATGTTATCTAGAATATTTTGAAGATTATTTTTGGATTCATAATGCTATACTGTATTATTCATGAAGGCAAGAGATAGTATTGTTGTAGTAGATGAAGTAGTTGGGAAGATTGTTTTTAATGGAGATTGTAATAAAATTTTAAGAAGTTTTGAGTTGTATTTTAAGTTTATATAGCTAAGAATAGGGTTAGTAAATTTTTTAGAGTAGTAAAAAATAAGTTTCTCCTTGTTCTATGTCTAAGTATAGTGTAATTGAATCAGTTAAACCATAAGCAGTAATTGCTCTGGCTTTCTTGTCTTGATAAAGAAATTTAATAAAGTTTAAATCAGTTTGAGGGATGCCAATACATTTATAGGCATCTAGTAACTGTTAAATATTGATTTTGTCAAAGGCCTTGGATATGTCTTGAAAGAGTATTCATATCTCTTTGTTATTAGTTTTGTAATATTTAATTGTATTTAGTAATATTTGTATAAAAATATGAGTTGAGCTATTCTTAGTT